ATAATAAGTATTTAAACAAGCGGCCCACGCTATAATAATAAGTATTTAAACAAGCGGCCCACGCTATAATAATAAGTATTTAAACAAGCGGCCCACGCTATAATAATAAGTATTTAAACAAGCGGCCCACGCTATAATAATAAGTATTTAAACAAGCGGCCCACGCTATAATAATAAGTATTTAAACAAGCGGCCCACGCTATAATAATAAGTATTTAAACAAGCGGCCCACGCTATAATAATAAGTATTTAAACAAGCGGCCCACGCTATAATAATAAGTATTTAAACAAGCGGCCCACGCTATAATAATAAGTATTTAAACAAGCGGCACACGCTATAATAATAAGTATTTAAACAAGCGGCCCACGCTATAATAATAAGTATTTAAACAAGCGGCCCACGCTATAATAATAAGTATTTAAACAAGCGGCCCACGCTATAATAATAAGTATTTAAACAAGCGGCCCACGCTATAATAAGTATTTAAACAAGCGGCCCACGCTATAATACTAAGTATTTAAACAAGCGGCCCACGCTATAATAATAAGTATTTAAACAAGCGGCCCACGCTATAATAATAAGTATTTAAACAAGCGGCCCACGCTATAATAATAAGTATTTAAACAAGCGGCCCACGCTATAATAATAAGTATTTAAACAAGCGGCCCACGCTATAATAATAAGTATTTAAACAAGCGGCCCACGCTATAATAATAAGTATTTAAACAAGCGGCCCACGCTATAATAATAAGTATTTAAACAAGCGGCCCACGCTTTTATTTATGGTGGCCGCTTTAATAATAAGTATTTAAACAAGCGGCCCACGCTATAATAATAAGTATTTAAACAAGCGTCCCACGCTTTTATTTATGGTGGCCGCTATAATAATAAGTATTTAAACAAGCGGCCCACGCTATAATAATAAGTATTTAAACAAGCGGCCCACGCTATAATAATAAGTATTTAAACAAGCGGCCCACGCTATAATAATAAGTATTTAAACAAGCGGCCCACGCTATAATAATAAGTATTTAAACAAGCGGCCCACGCTATAATAATAAGTATTTAAACAAGCGGCCCACGCTATAATAATAAGTATTTAAACAAGCGGCCCACGCTATAATAATAAGTATTTAAACAAGCGGCCCACGCTATAATAATAAGTATTTAAACAAGCGGCCCTCGCTATAATAATAAGTATTTAAACAAGCGGCCCACGCTATAATAATAAGTATTTAAACAAGCGGCCCACGCTATAATAATAAGTATTGAAACAAGCGGCCCACGCTATAATAATAAGTATTTAAACAAGCGGCCCACGCTATAATACTAAGTATTTAAACAAGCGGCCCACGCTATAATAATAAGTATTTAAACAAGCGGCACACGCTATAATAATAAGTATTTAAACAAGCGGCACACGCTATAATAATAAGTATTTAAACAAGCGGCCCACGCTATAATAATAAGTATTTAAACAAGCGGCCCACGCTATAATAATAAGTATTTAAACAAGCGGCCCACGCTATAATAATAAGTATTTAAACAAGCGGCCCACGCTATAATAATAAGTATTTAAACAAGCGGCCCACGCTATAATAATAAGTATTTAAACAAGCGGCCCACGCTATAATAATAAGTATTTAAACAAGCGGCCCACGCTATAATAATAAGTATTTAAACAAGCGGCCCACGCTATAATAATAAGTATTTAAACAAGCGGCCCACGCTTTTATTTATGGTGGCCGCTTTAATAATAAGTATTTAAACAAGCGGCCCACGCTATAATAATAAGTATTTAAACAAGCGGCCCACGCTTTTATTTATGGTGGCCGCTATAATAATAAGTATTTAAACAAGCGGCCCACGCTATAATAATAAGTATTTAAACAAGCGGCCCACGCTTTTATTTATGGTGATATAAATAGTAGTGCATTAATATATTTAAAAAAAGTAATTTTTTATATTTAAAGTAACCGTAGATTTATTATATTTAAAAAAATTATTTTATATTTAATAAAAATTGTATTATTTTCTTCTTTTTAGTGCATTTATAAAAGCTTGTAATTATAAACGTTTTTATGTATTTATTATTATGAAATGCCTATAAAACAATATTTTCTAAAGTTGATAAAAAGGAGATATATTAAAATGTAAAAAACACAAATTATGGTATACGAGAAGTAGGCCCATTACTATAGATTTTAAGAAGTCATAACATGTCTTCTGATGCAAACCCCAAAATGTTCTTGTTGAAAAGTTTAATTTGTAGGCCTACTATAAAATGTTTCTTTTTGTCTATCGCTTCTTTTGTACGGCCACCCAATGTATTAGATCTATACAGATGTAGCTTCCCTTGCCTTGTTCAGTTTAGTTATTCCGTTCTCGTCATCGGCTTTTGAGGACTGAAACTGATTTACAACAGTAATACTTCTTTCTGACATGTATTTCATTTATTGAAGATGGTTTCCTAAAACATATTATAAAACTTCTAATTTCAGTTTCATTTATTAAATTTAAACAATAAAAAAATATATTTAAATTGTGATTTAACATGTAGAGGTCAGGAGGAGTCAAGACAAAAAAAAAAAAACCAACCTGCCTTTGGGCAAGTGTCTTCGTAAATGTGTCGTAGACCAAATATACAAACATATACAAATATATATATATATATATATATATATATATATATATATATATATATATATATATATATATATATATATATATATATATATATATATATCTAGCTGCATACCGGTGCTCCGCCAGGGTAAATCTTTTTTAAATGTACCAAATTGGGAACAGCTTTTAAAATTAAACACCTAATTTAAAAAAAAAATTAATTAAAAAAAAACAACTTTAAAAATTTCCCCCACCCGCCCCTGCGGTACATCTACTCCCACCCCCAGGACGTAACACGATGTACCCGTATCACAAAGATCAAGGGGCGGGGCGGAGGTCACTAGGTCAAGGTCACCGCCCCCCCCCTCCACCAGGCCGCCTCCGATGGCGGATCCATATTTTAACCCTCCCCCTCCCCCTCCAAATTTTACTATATAACATGTCTCCTCCCCCTCCCCCTCCACCACCTGGTGGTGGGGTATTTTACTATATAACATGTCTCCTCCCCCTCCCCCTCCACCAGGCAAATACTACTCAAATGTGACCTGATATACTACTCATGATAAAATACTCCGCAAATGACAGTAGTGATATAATGCCACATCACTGTAATGTCGTGATACCACACCCCGCACAACGGTGCCACACCCCGCATAACGGTGCCACACCCCGCACAACGATGCCACACCCCGCACAACGGTGCCACATCCCGCACAACGTTGCCACACCCCGCACAACGGTTCCACACCCCGCACAACGGTGCCACATCCCGCACAACGGTGCCACACCCCGCACAATGGTGCCACACCCCGCACAACGGTGCCAGACCCCGCACAACGGTGCCACACCCCGCACAACGGTGCCACACCCCGCACAACGGTGCCACACCCCGCACAATGGTGCCACACCCCGCACAACGGTGCCACACCCCGCACAACGGTGCCACACCCCGCACAACGGTGCCACACACTCCTCATGAATTGAAGGAATGAAGTTTTAGTTTTTAGTGCTCTAATCATGCCCCAAACCAGCACACACATGAACTAGACACAAAAAGAGCACACATGAACTAGACACAAAAAGAGCACACATGAACTAGACACAAAAAGAGCACACATGAACTAGACACAAAAAGAGCACACATGAACTAGACACAAAAAGAGCACACATGAACTAGACACAAAAAGAGCACACATGAACTAGACACAAAAAGAGCACACATGAACTAGACACAAAAAGAGCACACATGAACTAGACACAAAAAGAGCACACATGAACTAGACACAAAAAGAGCACACATGAACTAGACACAAAAAGAGCACACATGAACTAGACACAAAAAGAGCACACATGAACTAGACACAAAAAGAGCACACATGAACTAGACACAAAAAGAGCACACATGAACTAGACACAAAAAGAGCACACATGAACTAGACACAAAAAGAGCACACATGAACTAGACACAAAAAGAGCACACATGAACTAGACACAAAAAGAGCACACATGAACTAGACACAAAAAGAGCACACATGAACTAGACACAAAAAGAGCACACATGAACTAGACACAAAAAGAGCACACATGAACTAGACACAAAAAGAGCACACATGAACTAGACACAAAAAGAGCACACATGAACTAGACACAAAAAGAGCACACATGAACTAGACACAAAAAGAGCACACATGAACTAGACACAAAAAGAGCACACATGAACTAGACACAAAAAGAGCACACATGAACTAGACACAAAAAGAGCACACATGAACTAGACACAAAAAGAGCACACATGAACTAGACACAAAAAGAGCACACATGAACTAGACACAAAAAGAGCACACATGAACTAGACACAAAAAGAGCACACATGAACTAGACACAAAAAGAGCACACATGAACTAGACACAAAAAGAGCACACATGAACTAGACACAAAAAGAGCACACATGAACTAGACACAAAAAGAGCACACATGAACTAGACACAAAAAGAGCACACATGAACTAGACACAAAAAGAGCACACATGAACTAGACACAAAAAGAGCACACATGAACTAGACACAAAAAGAGCACACATGAACTAGACACAAAAAGAGCACACATGAACTAGACACAAAAAGAGCACACATGAACTAGACACAAAAAGAGCACACATGAACTAGACACAAAAAGAGCACACATGAACTAGACACAAAAAGAGCACACATGAACTAGACACAAAAAGAGCACACATGAACTAGACACAAAAAGAGCACACATGAACTAGACACAAAAAGAGCACACATGAACTAGACACAAAAAGAGCACACATGTAACCTGGCAATATAGGAACCTCCCACACAACCTATAGACACGTGTCCTATGTTGGCAGATCCTGGGAAAACTTACGATGAGAACACAGTGTCCATCGACCGCCGAGACACAAACAGTGAGTCACCAAACGCGTCTATGTGTATCTATGTGTTTGTAATGTTTGTGTTTCCTTGTTAGTATTTTGTGTATGTTTGTGTAGCGTGTGTCTGTGTGTATGTTTGTGGCCCGTGAGTCTGTGTATATGTTTGTGTTTCGTGTGTCTGTGTGTATGTTTGTGTTGCGTGTGTCTGTGTGTATGTTTGTGTTGCGTGTGTCTGTGTGTATGTTTGTGTTGCGTGTGTCTGTGTGTATGTTTGTGTTGCGTGTGTCTGTGTGTATGTTTGTGTTGCGTGTGTCTGTGTGTATGTTTGTGTTGCGTGTGTCTGTGTGTATGTTTGTGTTTCGTGTGTCTGTGTGTATGTTTGTGTTGCGTGTGTCTGTGTGTATGTTTGTGTTGCGTGTGTCTGTGTGTATGTTTGTGTTGCGTGTGTCTGTGTGTATGTTTGTGTTGCGTGTGTCTGTGTGTATGTTTGTGTTTCGTGTGTCTGTGTGTATGTTTGTGTTGCGTGTGTCTGTGTGTATGTTTGTGTTGCGTGTGTGCGCGTGACTGTGTCTGTGGATGAGAGCTCAACATTACCTGACGTGCCTAATATTTTTAGAGCCGGATTGCTAGTGCCATCCACATTATTACTGTTCAATAAGGGATCTCTCTTTCTCTCTTTCTCTCTTTCTCTCTTTCTCGTTTTATGTTATTTCCATGCAGCCTTTGAGCCTTCAGACTTGCTTAAGACTTCAACAAGAACCAGTGGTGGTGAGTTATGATAGTTACCAAATATACAGTGTGTAGATTCGTGAACTGACCCCCCCCCCTTCACCAACTATACAGTGTGTAGATGCATGGCCTACTTCCCCTCCCCCCCCCCTCTACTTACACGCCCAATATACTATTTAGGATCATTGGCCCGCCCATCTCTGCAGTATTTTAATGCCAGACTTTAGACGATATTTTTTACCGACGAGTATTAAAATATCGCGTTTCATATTGTTGTGTTTAGTTTTTATTTATCTCTAACATTCCCTTACAGAAAGGTAAAACTCTATTAAATAATCATTCTTTTAAAAAGTTATCATGTGCTTGATACACTAGTGTCTAGAATTTTTATTTAGTTTCTAGATATGACCCACATTCACACAACTGGATTAAGATATGACCCACATTCACACAACTGGATTAAGATAAGACCCACATTCACACAACTGGATTAAGATATGACCCACATTCACACAACTGGATTAAGATAAGACACACATTCACACAACTGGATTAAGATAAGACCCACATTCATACAACCTGGGTTAAGATAAGACACACAGTTACACAACCTGGGTTAAGATTAGGTTTAAAATTGTCATGTAATTGACGTGAAACATGTCTACAAGATATTTTTGTCAATATTTGATGTCCGACATCCACAGATACGATTATGTGACATCTGTCAAAGTGACATCAGTTTCACGAGGACAATTGGCCTTATGATACACGAGACAGAAAATATCACATTTTTCCTTGAACAATAAACGTTAAATCAACGAAAATTTGTATCAACCAAAACTTGTAGTGATGTTTTTTTAATGCAAAAGAGTGTTTCTAAAAATGTATTGTTTATCAAAGGGTTTAAAAAATGTATTGTTTATCGAAGGGTTTAAAATATGTGTTATTTATCGAAAGGTTTAAAATATGTGTTATTTATCGAAAGGTTTAAAATATCTAATTATATCATCAAGTATCGTCATCTAATTATATCATCAAGTATCGTCATCTAATTATATCATCAAGTGTCGTCATCTAATTATATCATCAAGTGTCGTCATCTAATTATATCATCAAGTGTCGTCATCTAATTATATCATCAAGTGTCGTCATCCATGTCATCTAGTATCTTCATCTGATGACGTCAAAAATGGTTAGGTGTGGTGATGTAATGTGTATGAAAGGTGAAAACGTGAAACGGATCACTGCGTGTGTGTATGTATCATGTAGTGAGACGTGAGGCCGGGTGTGTTGACGTGTATGTTGTTGTACTGAGTGAACGAGGGTACAAGGGAAGCGACTGGTCGGGTGACAGTGGCTGTGTTGTGAGCGGGAGAAAGGTGGTGTGTAAGGAGGAATGCGGAGGACAGTTGAAAGTTAGAGTGAAAGCAAACAGGTTGATGTGGGACTAGGGTCGCGTTTGAAGAGAAATAAAGGATACTGTGATACCTAGCCTCAATCGTGTTGGTTGTGCATTCTTTGAGATTCTGACACCCTCACATACTTGGTGGAGCTGCGGGACCCACAACTGGGTAATAAACGTTTATCTCCTGTCGAACCAACAGACCTCCTGTAAGTGTCACTTTGAGTTTGTTAATTAAATAAATTATCTAACAGAATCATGTAGGAACCAGTAAGTTTGGCAGATATGTATAGCCTGGGCAGAAGCAACGGATACGAGGGAGAGAAGTTGGACGAGTGGGTGGAGAAAAGATTGAATGAGAATGAAGCAAGGAGGGACAGATGGTGCAGAAGGGAAAGAGAAAAGATGGAGACAGAAGCAAGGATAGAGAACGAAAAAATGAAGATAGAACAAGAAAAAATGAAGATGGAGACAGAAGCAAGGATAGAGAATGAAAAAAATGAAGATAGAACTAGAAAAATTGAGGATAGAACAAGAAAAAAATGAAGATGGAGACTGGAGTGAGAATAGAAGTAGAAAAAATGACGGCGGAAGCAGCAATCAAACTCGAAAGGATGAAACAGGAGCAGGATATTGAAAAAGAAAGGCAGGAATTCGAACTGACACGAATGAAGCATGAAGGTATGAAAGACATACCACACATTGACATGAGCCATCAAAACATCCTATCAAAGTTACCGAAATTTCAGGAAGATTAGGAAAACATAGATGCGTATATCAGGAGATTCGAGACAGTGGCGAGGACGACAAGCTTGAGCGAGACGCAGTGGGGAACTCAACTCCTATTCTTAATAGGAGGGAAGGCATTGGATGCATGTCAGGGCCTGAGTGAGGATAAAATGAAGGACTACAGAGTATTAAAGGAAATCCTCCTTGAGTTCTTCTTACATAATGAAGACTCGTATAGAAAAAAATTCCACAACAGACTACCATCCAAAGCTGAGGACTTCAAAAACTAAGTGTTGGATCTATAAACCACGTTTATGAAGTGGCTAGAAACGGCTAGAGTGGAGATGAACGTGGAGAATATAATTGAATTAATCTTGATTGATAAAATATTAAATTCAGTAGATAAGCAGTTACTAAGTTACATACAGGAAAGAAAGCCCACCACTCTAAAAGACCTTACTGACCACTGCCAAAAGTACATCATTGCACACACGGAATAGACCAATAGCTAACAAAGAATCAGAGTATGAATCAATCTTCTATGCGAGGACGGCAGGTGGTACAGCGGAGTACGTTGGTCTAGAGGCAGGAAACTACAGAGATGACAATCGACGGCCAAGGAGATATGGAACACAAACCAACGGCACAAGATACGTTGGGAGGTGTTTCAACTGCCAACAACCGGGTCACATGATTAGGAACTGTCCGCATAGAAATTCAAACGTTGGGGTCAATAACCAGGCTGCGGGTCAAGAATACCCCAGAGACAAAAACACTCATGCGGCACACAGTTATTACAGCCAACAACATAGACCAAGGCAGGACGGAAATCATAACAATGATTACAACGACCACAACAGTAGCCCAGATAATGAGGGAGTAGAACAAGCACCGTTACTACAGATCGCACCGAAAATACCAACACTAACGGTAGAATGTGGGAGCTCATACGTTAGAGGCGGTTAGAGACACTGGTTGCTCTACTATTGCTGTAAAAATTAGCTACGTCGAACAGCACCAATACACGGGTGAATGGAAAAGGTGTTTGGTGGCATGGTCATACGCCTACCTATAGCACTGATAAACATTAAATCACCGTATGTGACGGGACAAGTCCGAACCTTAGTATTCGAACGGGAATCATTCGACATAATAATCGGGAATGATATCGGGAGAGAGGACCATACATTTGTTCTACAATATACATTATGTAGCATGGCGTTTTTTCGACAAGTTGTACCGAAGGAGAGAAAAATCGACGTCGTATTCAAAGTTTAAAAAAAAGTACCGGTATCCTTTTGTTAAGTTTCTTTCGTATGTATTATGTACTGTGTTTATTGTTAACTAGCGGTCCCGCCAGGCCCTGCTCTGCTTCTGTGAAAAACCTTTCTGTTAAAGACCATTACCTGTGTGTTTAGTAATCATCATCATAAACCCGGCATTGCCCACCAAACCACAACCAACCAAACCAAAACAACAAAACGCAAACATAACGCGAACCCAATTACAAATACAAACGAAAACAAAAACCTAACAACAAACCATACCACAACCACAAACACCAATACAAACACAAAGAAAAACAAACAAAAAAGCAAACGAAAACAAAAACCTAACAACAAACCCAACCACAACCACAAACACCAATACGAACACAAAGAAAAAAACAAACGAAAAAGCAAACGAAAACAAACCAAATCCAAACGGCAAAACCAACCACAAACACAAACACAAACCCAAAGAAAGAAACACAAACGAAAAAGCAAACGAAAATAAACCAAATTCAAACGCAAAACCAACCACAAACACAAATACAAACACGAACCCAAAGAAAAAAACGAAAACGAAAAAAGAAAGAACAAAAAACGAACCAAATCAAAACGCAACCACTAACGCAAACCCAACCTGAACACAAAGAAAACACTAACACCGAACATAAACGCAAAGTGCTCACAGTCTAGCCCGGGGCGGAATCGCCTGTTTCAGCTTAATAAACGACTATAGTACCCCAACTTATTCATAGTCCTTTGCACTCACTTTAACGAACGTAGGCGCCAAACCGAACACGGGAGGCCCGGGGCCCCAAATAGCACCCTGTCTGGGCGGCAGAGGACGCACCATGACGTAACCGCCTGATTCAACTTAGTAAACGACTATAATACATAACTTATTCATAGTCCCTTTTGAACTCACGCGAACGTAGGTACCATGGCGTACACGGGAAGGCCCGGGGTGCCAAATAGCACCCTGTCGGATGCCAGAAGGACGCCCGGATTTGATTCACTTAAAGACTATAGTAACCTTTCTTATCCATAGTCCTATTGCACTGTTTAAAACAAAAGTATGCAGCATAGCGCTCACATGATAGCCCAGGGTGCCAAATCGAACCGTGCAGGGGCGCCGCGGACGCGCCTGTTTCAATTTAGTGAACAAAATGATAATACTCCAAGCTTATCCGTAAATGGAAAGAAATAAACATATATGATTTTGTAGGACCTGGCTTATTAAATGTTATTGATTTTAAAAAAATAACTATTGAACAGCATGTTCAGTGTATAGAATAAATAAAAGGCAGTATTAAAAATACCAACGATATTGCACTTAATCAATCCCGCTAATTATGTAATTTTTTTTTTCTTAACACCAAAACAAAGTAATAAAAAGTAAATTCTGTCTTCCCCTGATTTAATGATTTCTTTAAAGGGAAGTAACTGTGCAGTTAATACATTTCAGACACAATTTTAGAATTTTATGAACGTTGATACACTTTTTAAAAATTTTATGTAATGTTCATAATTAAAAATTATTATTCTAAGTACATAAAATGAAAATTGTTTTTAAAGACTTTCAGTAGTAAGTTTTAAACTCATAAATTTAGACTATGAGCACGATAATAATCCAGCACTTAAATCCACCGAAGTATCCACGACAAACTAATTTATTACAAACATGTTACATACAGAATTGAGCTTTATATATTAGATTGGTTTATACGAGAAATGTAAATGATGATGTTCTTGTAGAGACTAAAGGTGGATTGTACCCAACAAAAGTATTCTACTGGTGGTGCCGAGTCAACGATCGGTTTGTCGGTATTGTGTGTGATGTTGAAACATATTTCAAATGTTCTATACAGGGTTACTATGTAGCTATTCTCTGGAATGTAATATGTACATGATGCCCATGTCTTTGTACTAGGTGTATTTTACAGAGTACAAGTTGATATGGTGCGTCTATTCGGTGTACTACAGACTTACGGAAAGGCAATAGAGGGATCACTCAACAGTCCCATTGTGGCTGTTAACATCGTAGTTATGTATATATACATATTGTGTTGAGTTATTGATTTTCTTTTTTTTTTGTTAATTCCGCTGATTGCATCAGCTAGGTACAGATGGAGGGTATGTGGTGATGTAATGTGTATGAAAGGTGAAAACGTGGAACGGATCACTGCGTACACTGTGTATGTATCATGTAGTGAGACGTGAGACCGGGTGTGTTGACGTGTATGTTGTTGTACGGAGTGAACGAGGGTACAAGGGAAGCGACTGGTCGGGTGACAGTGGCTGTGTTGTGAGCGAGAGAAAGGTGGTGTGTAGGAATGAATGCGGAGGACAGTTGAAAGTGGGAGTGAAAGCAAACAGGTTGATGTGGGACTAGGGGTGCGTTTGAAGAGAAAT